GTGTGTGTGTGTGTGTGTGTGTGTGTGTGTGTGTGTGTGTGTGTGTGTGTGTGTGTGTGTGTGCGTGTGTGTGTGTGTCTGCTGGAGACCATCTCCCCCTACTGCGTGACTGTAATTACCGCCCACTTCCTCCTGGTAAGCGGTGCCTGTTAGAGGTGGAGCATGAGAGATCATCAGTGACTTTCTCTGCTGAGCCGCGCGTTTTCTTCGAAAACTTCACGCGAGAGACCTGGCTATCTGTCATCTTGATCTTTGCAATCTTTTCCCTGTACAGAAAACGTGATCATCAACCTGTCCACGGGGCATTTTGGTTCACGTATAACAATCAAACCTGTCCCATAATTATTGTGTTTATTCATGTTTTTGTGTTTGCGTGTGTGGATGTTTTTTTATGGTATTTTAAGAAAAAAAATATAAATACACACACACACACACACACACACCAGGTTACATGACACATCTAAAATGACACATACGAATCCTCTCCAAGACTTTCTGGTGTCATGTAATGTTCTGACAGAAAATCTGCATACATATAAGCTAAAATTGCTTGTCGCCATAGCTACCGCCCACTAATCCTTCCTGAATGCTCAGAAAGGATCAACATCTCCCGGCATTGTCCTGTGATTGACAGAACACGCGTTATGAGATTCGCGAGTAAAGCCCCGTTTTGATTTCCCCGTGACATTGCTGCGTTTCACAATCTGCTTAGACGGGAGGTGCAGGTCTTTCCTTTTGGCTTTCTCGAGGTGCTGGCGCAAGGAGGATTTGGTGATATTTTCTTGCTTGTTTGTAGGCTTTTGTGTGCAGCATTTGTTTTTCCAGCTCTTCGATCGTTGCGAGTCGTTGACACAGAAGGTCAATGATTTGACTTCCCGCAGCTCACCGATGGGGGTGGAAAACTGGGCCGACTTCCGAAAGGGTGTGTTCGGGCACTCGACCGCACTCACCCCCTGCAACACAAAGCAGAAATCAGTAATGATAGCGAGTCAGCAGAGATGTCTTCAGGAGAAGCATACAAGGGCAAAGCCCACTTTATTTTAAAAAAATAAAAATAAAACATTGATTTTGTCAATTATTAAATGAAGGCGTCAATGTCTTCCCGCAGCTCACCGATGGGGGTGGAAAACTGGGCCGACTTCCTAAAGGGTGTGTTCGGGCACTCTACCGCACTCACCCCCTGCAACACAAAGCAACAGTAAATGTTGAAATGCTGAAATGCATCCTCAACCTGATGGGCTGTGGCTTGTGTCCAGAATTGATTGGGGCTGCAGAATTTGCAAGAAGGGAATAATTGGGAGGAGAAATCTTCTACCAGAGTCTCGAATCATCCGCGTTTCGACCTTGGTTGCACAAACGCATCTCATTCATAGAGCTACTGCGGTTCTTACTTCTCACAAATTGGATGGTACCGTCAGTGCTCTATGGAAGGGAAAGGAAGCACGACAACCTTTCACAGAAAACAAATGTGCAACAAAAAAAAAAAGAAATAAAAATAATCCAAACAAAAAAAGGTGTTTTTAATGAAACAACGCTAAATTAAAAGTTTATTCCCCGAGCAATTGTGACCCACCTGTATCCTCTGGTAATTTTCACTCCAATAGCTGATGGCCTGCTCAGTTGTATAATCATGAAACTGGAAATAGAAGCAACAAAATGAAAACAAACTAAACAAAACAATCATTTGTATTTTTCAATAATCAAAAATACAATTGAGATCTAATCTTGGTGATCTGTCTTCAGAAATGTATTTACGGGTGTGGCTTTAGCCACTTGGGCTATGCAAATTCAGGAGGAATCCATCTTTTTGATACAATGCGTGTTGAGAGGCTGAAGTGTGGAACCGGCGTGATTGCCGTGAACACACTGACACAAAGTACTCAAGACCCAAATAGTGTGCGCTCGCATCGTCGACATACTCGGTTGATTTTAGTCGTTTGGGGTACAAATCCCTCGACTCGAAAATCCCTCTGAGTTGTGGTGGCGAAGTCAGTTTGGGGAAGCGGTGGGTTCCGTTCTGCATGAATCTTGTCCCTGCAAAAAAAAACATCATCAAGCAAATATTCCACGATTATATAAATACTTGGATCCACAATGTGTTCTTTTCGGATTGATGACGTTTCCGTTTCTGACAAGATGCAATTTTTTTGCCCTTGTCTCAATTGTACATTGTTGGCCTAAGGCAGGTTCCGGTAAGGGGATCGAAGGTATGACGTTAATAAAATTGTCTTTATTATCATTCTAACAGGTACAGTGGAATTGAAGGTGTAATATTCATGCCTACCGTATTATCTGTGCAATTCTTCTTTCCAAAAGCTCAGACCTGATGCCTGAAGATACGAAGTGGATGAAGAAATAAAGCGAACACTTTAGCCATGTGACTGTTGAATTTTGAACAGCCCCTTAAGAGTGTTTGGCCTGCCAAAAAAAAAAAAAAAGAAAAAAAAAACTACACATACCCTGCAGCCTCACCCCTGGACTCCTTGGAGGGGCAAATGCTGATTTGAGGGTGGTGGTACTCTCCATCTTAGCTCCTGTGTTCATAGTGATGATTCCCTTGTGTCCGTGTCTCAGGATGTGCTCCCTTGTTTGCTTGGAGTTGGATGAAATATGACATTTGAGTGTTACGACATGAAAAGTCGACATTACTGAAGTACCCCTGAATGTCACTCAAGGAACAAATCTCCTGAGGGATGAGAGTCTGTTGAATTGAACTCATTCACCGCCTTTGCAAGGCGACTAGAGCAATAGAATAAAACTCACCTCTTGGGGGCCGTCATTTGGTTGACTTACAGCAACTACGCCGTCTGCCATTTCAGCAAATTTTGGACAAAAAAAATCGTATATACCAAGACTTCGATGAGTCAGGTGTGAGTGACCTGCTTTTAGCGGAGGAAAGGCACCGCACGTCCAAACGGCGTCCGGACGACGGAAGTGTCTCCACGGTAACGGCAAACACACACGTGACTTGAAACCTTTGAGGAAATGAGGCACGTTATGGGCGAACGTGACATCATTTTACTTGTCCAGGCATCCAATTTTTTTTTTTTTTTTGTCGAAACCGTGAAGGCTGCATTTACACCGAACACATAAAACAACCCGCAAGCGCATTCTCCCAAATTGCTCCTGGAGCTGAAAACTCAAGTGTATATTTTCGGTTGCTATGAGCTCATTTTGCATTTTTGTCGTACTCAGTCCACAACGTTTGCAAATCTATGAGAACGCATGGCACCCAAGTCGAGCCAATTACCCCGTAAACAACAACGTCAAACGTTTACGATTTTTCCTCTTGGAATGAGCACTAAAATGAGACTTTACCATTAAATCTAATACTTTAAATTATGTTGCAATTTTTTTTTTTTGGTTTGTGTAACATGTTTGTAATTTGACCTTCGCAAATTTCCAGCCAAACTTTATATTTACAAAAAGAAAAAAAACACGATTGATTTCACACTTTGTCAGTCCTGTTTCCTGAACACTTTTCTCCCTCTATGAAAAATTTGGAATATTCCACAAGTCACGCAGTCCACTGGAGGATGCATCATTCACATCTTCTGCAAGCCTTGGGAAGGCCCGAAAGTAAGTTACTCATTTCGTTTTATCTATGTTTGATGATATTTCAACAATGACTGCGGGGAGTGGTGCTGGGGCTCTAATGTTGCAAAAATACTTTGGGGGTGTTTTCTTTGGATTATTTTTAGAATACTATTTTTTTGTTGTATCACTGAGAGAAACAATTTTGTGCCACCCCCCCCCCCTTTTTTTTTGTGGCAAATGAAAATGGGTATATCATTGTCAATACATTTTTCCTTGTGTACATAAATGCATTTCAGAGCCAGTACTTTTTACTTTTACTGTGGTGTATAACAAGCCCACAAATTGGGAGCCAATGTTTGCGACGTGTATGTATCATTTACTCTGTATCTTCGCTTTCCAGTGTTGACAGTGTTTTCCTAAAAATAGATCACTGGTGCAAACAATGACAGCTTTAAGCATACAATGTGAAGCTATACGCCACCGCAAAATAAAACCACAAAATTAAACATTGCCATTGCCGTGACAGCCACAATTAAAAATGAGTTGAAGAAAAAAAAAAAGAAAAGGTTTCCTCTCTGTGGAGGATGAGGGTCGAATCATCTTCCTCACATTCCTTCATGTGTCTGCTGAGGAAGGTTGCAAGACTTGAGCAAACAGCTTTGTCGTCCCCCGGGGTGCAATTAAGGGAAATTAAAAAAAAAAAATTGCGCTCCTGTCATTTGACCACCTGTTAGACATTTAATTAAATCCAATCGCTGATCCATCAAGTCTTCTGTGTTACAGCAGGGTTACATTCAGCCACGTGTTCTCCAGTAGAACCCGCTGTTTGTTTCCCTTTTCCGAAGGGCACATGTCTTAAGATACCGCCATCAATGGGCTGTTTTATTTTCTGGTTGCTTCAAGCAACAACACAAATCCAATACCTGAAATAAATGAATGAAACAGGCAGCTCCACAATGTCTTGATTGTCTTTGCTGAGCAGTGCGTATGCCTAAATCACACCAAAGAATGAACAGTATAGATCTTCTCACTCCGCCATAGCAGGCAGCCGCCGCTTCTCTAAATGAACTAGAAACCAAATTTACACCTGTGTTTACTGTCTGGCCATGTTGCATGACTTCTGTGAAAAATTCTTTTTTTCCAACACCGAATGACGGTTTCAAGCTTCTGCCATCCATCCATCCACACGTGGGCGCCTCAGTAAATTTAGCCAGTCTGTCATTCGTCAGCGGTAATTCGTCAGCGGTAAATCCGAAGGATCTTTTTACATTAGTATACAGCGGGAGCACGCTGGTGGCCGCCTGCCTCTGTTAACACCAACAAGTTTTACTTGAAAGTTCCTCCTACCTTAACCAGAAGAGCCCGCATAGCGTTGTAGCCAAAGGTACGATTCTGGTGGATTAATCTGTGTGTGCGTGTGTGTGTGTGTGTGTGTGTGTGTGTGTGTGTGAGATAAAAGACTGTAAATGTGTATTTCTGACCCCAATATTCAATACCATGCCATTTCTCATCACGTCCCCTTTGTCTTTATTGAAAGTGATGCAGACCCTGTTAAATATAACACCCTGGTCTTGTTGCAGTGCATATGAGACCAAATGAAAACCACAGAGCTTGTTGCTGAGCCTCTGCAGCAAAGTTTTGACTGTCAGGCGGCCAGTATGTCTGGAACTGGCTGCCAGCTCAGCATGGAGGCCCAAGTCGGTCCTCTCCAAACTCTCTTACTGTGCTTCACTGCAGGGCGAATGGCTCTTATGAATACAGTAGGTTTTCCAGGTGTTCCGAGTGAGCAAGGCATTTTGTCAGCTGCGTGTGTGGGAGTATGGATACTATGTATTCCAGTCTAGAGCCGTGTAACAAAAGAATTTCAAGGTACACGTGTCATGCTTTGAGTATATGCAGCACAAATTTGTTTGCTTGCGTTATGGGCACAATTCTACATAAATGAACAATATCAACTCAATACACCACCGCCGGCATTGTGTACAAATGCACAAACAACGACCGCTAACCTAGCGTTAATAGTACCTTTTTTAAAAGCAACGTTTTCACCCAGCTCCGAACCTCTCTTTAAAAAGGGATATTTTTAGATAGTGCGGGGGTACCTAATAAAATGTCAGACGAATGTGTATTCCATACGGTTGTCTTGCTGCCGTCATTTCTCGTTTGGATTTTTGTGAGTAGACATCTTCGCAAAGTTGTTGAAACAAAAAGAGACACTTCCTAACCTTTGACGTCCAGGTCCGCCCAGATGTCAGTGTGCTTAATCTGGCCTGTGTGGGCAAGGTTGCGTGCGATCGGCTGGATAACCGGTCTCCATGGCAACGTGAACATCGGCAAAGAATGAGAACCAGTCCCTTACTGTTCGACAGTGGAGAGGAGGAGTGATTCAGACACTTCGCGTGGTGGATTATTTTCGACCTCCCATTACATTCTATTGGCTCCACAAAATAGCAGACATTTGCTTGTATTGAAGCGTTAGCGCCGTCGAAAGTGTATCGTTCATGCTTTTGCGGCATTAGGGAACGAAATGCTGGGAAAAAAATTTCTCTTTGTATTGTATCATCCTTACGTGTAGATTTCGCTTCACTTTAAGCGCGAGCGACACTGCGACTCTTTCTTTCTTTTTGTTGCGTCTCCCTTTGCAGGAAACACCACGGTTATTTCTGGTTTCCTTGATGAAATCTGTCACGCCATAGCAACAGATCCGTGGTCATCTTTCCTCTCCTCGCTAGCTTTCATCTTTTTCCCCGACCTCGCACCAGCTCCCATTAGCGTCATAAGCCTCAGATAATTGCTGAGAGCGGTGGTTTGGCTGTCATCTTGGCACTCTTAGGAGGTCTGCTGTTTCCCATCATTAGTTGCTTCAACATTGCAGGTTGCGCTTCAGGTGTAGCAAACACCAATGTGTCGTGCTCCCCACACACACCCCCTTCCCCCTTTTTCTCTTTCAGTTTGTTGGAGTTGTCTCTCACTTAGAATAGCCTCGAGTTGTTCAGGCTGCAGAGCAGCACCAACTCAAATGGAAAGAACTAGCTTCGTTTATGATTTCCTTGTACGGAGATATGATTTTTTTTTTTTGATTAACAAGCCATTTGGTGTGTTTGACATTTCGGATGCACCATGTACGGTGGTCTATGGGACGCCTCACAGTCAAAGGTTTTGGGTTCCATTGCTGACCTTGTTTTCGGGGTTTGGCAAGCTTTCCTGGAGCCTCCTACTTGCAATAAGTCGAGATGTGCGCGTACATTTTGGGGCTGATTGTCTGCCATTGTTTGACATCATTAGCAATACATGCGCAATGATTTGACACATTGCGTCCGGTTCCTTCGCTGATTGCCACCAAGACATGGGAAGAGGGATTCCTCCAAAATAATTTGACAAAATTGCATATGCAAGCTAATATCATCACCATCGGGGCTGATGGAAGAGATCCACGCTGGCACATTCTCCTTTTGGATGATCTTCAAACTTCACTTTGTCTCTTGCCACGTCGACAAGAAGCTGCCTTCAGGACAAACAAACACTTCAGCCACCGTTTGTCAGCATGTCCCGTTAATCCTCTTTGGTCATTGGCTTAAAAATAATAGCAAACAACGAGTAGAAGTCGTTTAGCCTTCATCACAGATTATAAAGCCACAATGCGCCGACGGGTGGTTCATCCAGCGCCATTATTTCAAAGGTCAGCCATTTTTGGAGGAAGTCATCTTGCTTTCTGCCGCTCAAAGACGTCCCGCTGTTTCGTTATCAAGGGTCCAAAGTCATCCACTGCATGACTCTAATGAACTTGTGTGAAGACAACACACTCGAACCGGGCAATAGTTGTGCGCATCCCTCTTTTAATACTTTCAGCTAATTTCCAGAGCGCAACGGGAGAACCTATGATGACGTTCACGACAAAAGCCAACGTGGACAATGGCGTGGCTCCCGAGTGGTATAAAAGAAGGTTCCCAGGACTTTTAGGTCGCGACTAGAACCTGAGACATCTGCGGAGCGATTCGTCCCCGAAGCCAAGCAGTCTCCCAAAAAGATCTTCACGATGAGAAAGTCCCTCGTGTGCGTCATCTTGGCCGCAGCGCTCTTGCTGCACTCTTGTTGGGCGTCGCCCGCGGACCTGGCTCAAGACGGCCCCTTGGAGCAGGATGCCTTCACCTCCCTGCTGAGCGAGGAGGTGACGGAGAACAGCCGCGGCGAGGCGGCCGCCGTCGCCGACGGCAAAACCAGAGGGCAGAGGGTCATCGTTGTTGCCGATCCCGGTCTTTGGCGTGACCTGCGAGTGCTGCACAACGGACTGGCCCTCTACAAGCGACGAGCTGATGACAACAGCCAGGCCGTCGAACGTACAAACGGCGGCCAGGACCTGAGCATCCCCATCCTGAGACGGGACAGCGTGAGATGCATGGTGGGACGAGTCTACCGGCCATGCTGGGAAGTCTAGGACAGTTTGGACAGGCCCCCAGCTGAATTGTAATATATGCCAAAATGATGTGTGTTGACTTCACGGCACATTTGTGATTAAAAGCCAATTAATTGTACTGTGACATGTGCTTTGTCTTACTGTGTGTCGTGACTTTTGCTAAATCTGACAGGCAAACTGGAAGTAATTGAGATAGTTTCCCTGCTCATCTGTTAAGGGCTATTAGAAGTATAGTGGTTCACACAGCTGAAGTTTTTCCTGCTGGGGTTGGGTCGATTTCCTATCAATGCCCCCATTTAAAATTGCCCATCGATGACGGGTAAGCCTTCAGCCCGCGACCTGACGAGGGCGAGCAGTGTAGAACTTGATGTATGAGCTGTGTCTGAGTCTTATCGGGCTTGGTTAGCAGCTCATCTGTCCGTTTACCGTTCCGCTTGTCCTCATTAGGGTAGCAGGTGAGGTGTGGCCTATCCCAGCTGAATTTAAGGTGGCGTACACCTTGAACTGCTCGCCAGTCCAATCGCAAGGTGACCGGTCTTCCATAGGAAAATGCATCTTTTTGGTTTGGGGGATGCAGTTAATTAAGCTGAGGACATGAACACATTTACATCTTATGAAGTGTGCATTATGTATTACGGGTAATTGAAGTGAGTCATTGACGACAGTGTGGTCTAGCAAATACAATAATTCTCTTATTTGGCTCATGATGTTGTAAGTGGAAATATTGTCCCCCCCCCAACCAAAAAGATCACAGGATATTTTTGGAACATTGCTCCAGGATGGAATTTATAGTCATCAGCCTGACTGGCGCTATGCCATCCATCTTTGGCCAAGAGGATGCCGAGAGAACGCGTTCACTGTTATTTTGTGAGACACAAAAGCCATCAGTCAATTAGTACTCGACAGATGCCACAACAATGCCAGTCACTAACTTATGTCCAAACTGAAATGCTTTCTTTAACTCCGGGGATGCAGACAGATACAGCTGTAGCAGTATTTAGAATGGATTCCTGAGAGCTTGAGCAGAAGATGACTTTCCCACCCACCCCCGCACACACGCCCACGAGCATGAGCGAAAGGGTGGGTGGTTCTATGTTGGGGGTTGGTGAGGTGGACTTGCAGCTGCCGCCTCGTATGATGAGCATCACGTTCAGAGAGGGTGGGTGGTTCTATGTTGGGGGTTGGTGAGGTGAACTTGCAGCTGCCGCCTCGCCTCGTATGATAGCATCACGTTCAGAGATGCGTGTTTCACAAATAAATTCATGAGGAAATATCATGTATGCAACTTGCTATAATGAAGCCGGGTATCGAGCCACCTTAGCTTGCGAGCTTTGTATTTTTTTCCTGACTTTTCCCACTCGGATTTTAAGATACATATGGACTATTACGATGAATGAAATCTGTCACTTTTTAATAGACTACTCTATATACGCGTTTTTTTTTTTTTTATTGTGTGTGTGGTTTTTTTTGAGCAAGACAGAGAGAACATCCGCACCCAATATTCGACATGACCAACCCAGCATACACCACACATGATGCTTTTGCAATTGACACCCTTCAAGTCTCCTCCCCCAAATAGAGTGACCTCTGACAGATGCAGCATGATGTCACAGGACAACGAGACTGCTGTTAAAATGCAAAGAAAAATGAGTCGTAGAACAAGAAATAGAAGCAGCTCGGCCTAACTATGAGCCGGACAAGTTCGTTGATCCTGCAAACACATTTCCCTTTTTTTTTTTTTTTTTTTGTTCAGAGGACGACCAATCACATTAAAAAAAAAAAAAAATTACAGACTGGCAAAAAAATTAATTACAATGTTAAACATTGATAGCTTTACTGGCAGAATCAAATGGGAGAATGGACAATTTTCACGATGACCAATTTATTTGAAAGTGAACTTCCCCCTTCCCCATCTGTCTCAGGCAATAAAGCGTATCTGTAATTGTTATTGCATTTTGTGCAGTGACAATGACTGGCACTCACTGGATGAAATCTGATTCCCAAACCTAATTAGAGCCATCTTTTTTTTTTTTTGTGTCCTCTCACAAGATAAACGTAATCTAGCTTGGTCAAACGGTTCCGTGGCATCTGGCGCCAAAGGGGTCTCCGATGTCCATTACTAATTCAATCCCACCCAGTCGGTGCAAATGATCGGTGTAGAGCTCAAGCTCAACATGTTGAATCTGATGAGTCGGCACTCCCTGTAGACTTAAAAAAAAAAAAAAAACTGGGTAAAAATCACAGAATGAATGGTTGATGGAGCAAGACATGTTTAAATGTCTTTGTGCCATTCACTTTGAAATGCCCTTAAAACATTTGATAGTACTTTTTTCCTTCTCTTTTGCACACTTTTCACTGAGGAAAGTCAAACTACAAGCATGTACTGTCTGTATGCGTGGAGGTGTAGAATCAGATGGATTTTTATGCACCCCAAACGTGATATAAATTGTAAGCTTTTTTATTTCCAGGCTTTTAGTGCCACTGACCACTGTTTTTTTTTTTTTGTATGTAAATAACTCTCACCACGAGCTATACTTCTGCATGACCGGCCATATACCATATTCCGATTTTTTTTTTTTTTTTTAATTCATTGTCATTCAGGATTTCTGAAAATTTAGCACTCGATCGGCCACATACACTTTCCAGGGACATAGCAGGCAAGGAAAAGCACAGTTATTATTGATTGTATTGGTCCATAAAGAGTAGTTTCCTCTTGGGCTATTGTACTCGTGCACTTAGGGTGAATGTCACAGCAAGCTTTGCAGCCCAGGTTATAAAGTGCACCCGAGTGCCTTAATTATTCACAAAGGCTCCCCACCAGCTCCGGCCCCCTCCATTAGAGGCCGAAGGGGGAAGTGAGAATGGGGGTGGGAGGCGAGGTGCATGAAGATGATGTCACTTTTCCCCGTTGAATCAAGCAAGGGCACCTGGGACTGAATCACGAACCCATGGTCATGAATCACTGCGTTCCCATGAAAGTCACAGCTGATATAATGGGTATGCAGAATGGAAAATTCCAGAAAGAAAATAAAACGATGACAGATATCAATTTACAGTATCGTGGCATGATCCCATGCTGCCAGAAACTCTTCACGAGAAAAGCGATGAGAGATTCTCGGGCCCGAAAAGCCATGACATTGTCCACACACGGAAGTCAATATGGCCGTCGGTTAGTTTAATGACAGAAACTAAACGGTCCGTACATTTGATGTTGATGTCAAGAAGAGGCTCCGACAACGGATGGCTGGATCTTGAAAGCCGCTTGGATTCAAAGTCACACAACTGTTTGTTTCAAGACCTAAAGAGACATTGTGTCCACAGATTTAAGTGCCGGACCACCTTGAGAATTTTACCCAGAGAATTAATAATCTTGAGTTATCAACCAAGGTTGAATATCTGTTGCGCTGAATAGCAGCCCACTGCAGTAGGCGGTTCAAGAAACACAAACATTTCATAAGAAGGATTTAATCAGATCTGCAGAGTAATCAAACAAAAAGATATTAAGATGCGTGCATTTCATAAAACGGCTCATCGAGAAAGGGGGAGCAGGCACGGCAGCAGATGCGAAGGGTTACTCCAGCACAACTCATGAGTGAGGTTGATGTAACGCCAAGACTTCAACATATGGAGAGGTGTCAGCTCTCCTGATTGAATGGAACTGGCGCATGCGCGATTGCTCGCGTGCGTTATGGCACCCGTGACTGAAAGCTTTTGCTATTTTATCCTTCGGGACATTATAAGTGATAGTCACGGTTACATATTGTTGCCAAACACAAGATACTGCAATTGTATGGCTTGACAGCGCCCAGCTGCATCTCACGCGCTTCAAACCCGGCATTGAATTGTTAGCGAGTAGCTAATAATCATCAGCCACAAAATGCGCCCACACGCTCACTGTGGAAGGCTGAGGAATGTCTGTCAAAATACATTGAAGCCGTTCACTCCTCAAAACCCTCCAAGGTTGGGAGGCGGTGCCAAGTTTTGGCTTTGCGTGAGACGCAGGTGCGAAAGCTGTTCAGACATTTTTGCTCACGCGAGCGGCCATGTCGCAACCACGACGCGGGCAGGCAATCTTCGGTAGGTGACCGCGTGGCCAAAATCCCATCCGTTCGGATCCGCGTTCTACGCATGAAACGGTGGAAAATTTGGGATTTTGATGCCATTTAATAACACCGTAAAAAAAATTTTAATTAAAAAATTGGCAATGAGTTTTGTAAACCCTAATTGGACAACTCATGACAACAAACCACTACAGACATTTTTAAAGCTAAACGGTTACATTCGTAAGAACAGCAGGTTTTTGCAGGTATTTCGCTTTCTCCAAAACAGGAATTATATTCCAGCGCAGGGGAACTCGGCAGCAAAACAAAACGCAATTTTTGCTTATTGCGAAATACCCTTGGAGACCCATTTAACAGTCTCCCTCCTTTCAGACAGTTGAACAAATGTTACTTTAACCTTGATAACAACGCTTACTTTCTGTTCGCACAAACCCAAACATGAAAAGGCTTAAGAGGTCTGGAGAAAAGTCGACTTCCAGCACTCTGCTGTAATCACTGACAATGGGTTCTTTGTTTCCCTCAAGACACAAAAAGGTCAAGTCTCCCCAAAGTTTCGGAGCCACGTGGAATTCGCTCGATAATCTATACGCTGTAGAAATAAATGGCGCCGTGTTTATCTGCGCTACCCTCGACTCCATTCCACGAGACCTCATTCCGTGCATTTTGCCTCCTGCCAACCGATCAGCACCCCACAGAAACGCCGCTAGCACCGCCCATTTGTTTGACTTTACCATTCACCAATGAAAACATCTGAAATGATAGACAGGGCTCTTTGCTCCTTGAACGGCTTATTTGTTCGACGGTTCGGCCATTTCAGACCATGTGTAGACTGGGAAAAAGATTCAAAATTCCGAGACTGATCTCGGATGATCTCGAAGTTGCTGGAATTCCAGACGTTTGAGGCCAAGAATTCCATTCTTGGTGGACCTCAGACCTGATGAGCAAATTCTCCCGATGAGAGCAGAAACCTGTAAAAAAATGCACTGATCAGAACAACGAACAAGACATTGACACTTGCTAAGCATTTCCTACAATTGGTCGTGAGCTCTTCATACTGTACTTG